TAAGAAGGTCCAGTTGATTAGGAACAGTTTTCACGCAACATTTGTCATTCGAAATGTCAGACACATTTTAATTTCGGAATTTCACCGAAACTCTAGGGAAAACTAGGTATCCATTTTTTTGGAAAACAATTTTTCTATCTCGAGAAAACTTCTTTCTTCAAAAATCCAAACCAGGAAGAAACATGGGGGGGGGGGTGGAAGTTTTTGGACCAGGCACATAATTCACCGATCAAAAAATTGTTTCGAGATAATTTACCAAAAGAAATTTTTCGAGAAAATTCGCCAAAAAGTTGATTCAAGAAAATTCACAAAAAAAAACGTATCAAGAAAATTCACATAAGTGAATCAAAACACCCGATCAAGAAAATTGCTTGAATATTTCTCGTGCAATTTTCCTGGGCAAGAATGATAATCTCCAGTGAATTGCACAGAAGCTAAAGCTACCAAAAGAAATTTTTCGAGAAAATTCGCCAACAAATTGATTCAAGAAAATTCACAAAAAAAACGTATCAAGAAAATTGCTTGAATATTTCTCGTGCAATTTTCCTGGACAAGAATGATAATCCAGTGAATTGCACAGAAGCTAAAGGGGCAAGGAAGGTATGAAACTCCATACTTAAGTACATAGGTACTCCAAAATATCGTCGCATGACTTAATATCGAATCAATTAGGTAGAAGAAATTAACTAATGGAAAACTTCAGGTTCCTCACACAAGGAAATACCTGAATCATCTGAATTTTCGATTGAAAAGAGAAAAAAACACACAGCAGGGAGAGAAGAAAGGAAGAATCACTGAGAGGAGGAAAATTATCATAGAAAATTCCTGATAAAAAGTGATCAATTTGAAAAAGGGCACATCTTAGTTCTTAATTGTATAAGAAAATTTCCTACAGCATAGGTAGGTACAGATTGACTCAATTTGGACAGTTTTGGCGACAATCAATGTAGGTACATGGAATCAAGATATGATGAAAAATATGCTTGCTTCTTTTTGTGCTTTACATCAAACCTACACATTTTAGTAAGTATTAATCTCTCATGTAGAAATTGATCTGGTGAATAACAGATGCACCATTTTTCAAATTGGTCGTTCAAATACATTATGACATCATACAAACGGTAATCACTTCATAGATGGGCAGAATTTAAATCATAAGTAGATACAGTATCTCAAACCTCGATTCCAGTCCGGAATCAATCGAACCAGAGATCTCAGAAGGAAAGTTGAAAGCAGGGGCCAAGTTTTCCATCACGCCAGAGACTGCCATGTCAGACGAACCTGACCGAATCGCGTATCGCGACAATTTAATCACGAATCTTTCATACACAAGTACAATATTAAACAATAAACACTGATTTCACGGCGAGAAAACAGACGAAACTCTCGAAAGCAGTATTAACAACGTCAACGACTCAAATCCGATGAGGAATTTCACGAAATTGCGCGGGAAGGGAAGACCACCCGGACCGAATAACTTCAAAGTTCATTCCGATTGTCTATTTTTCGCGAAACGCGACGCAATAAGAATCCTTCCGAAGGTAAACGCACACCGAAAATTCAAACGCGAAACTTGAAAGTCGGATAATATACTAAGAACTGAAAAAGTAGTGAATGAAAGGTAGGAACCGAAGTTAGGAGCACGGTGCCGGAGGAATTGACCGTCACGTACGCGACTAGTAGCGAAGAATGGCCAAATTAGGGATGTCGATACTTATCCGATACTTGCAAAGTATCGATACTTTCGATCGATACTTAACGATACTCGGCATCGATACTCCACGATATCGATACCATGCAGTATCGATGCCAAGACCCCAGTATCGACGGTATCGATACTTAATCTGATTTTGCCATGAAGAAGGCCTCTTTTTCTTTTTTAAAAAATTCTCTCCCCACTATTTCACCTTCAAGATGCACTGTGACAAACGACGGAGTAATCAAGTTTCTCAAAATGATTATACTTCAATAAAAATGTTAAAAGCTCAGTTCGATAAGTGTAGTTAAAGGCTCAAAATAGCTGACTAAGGACGCGAACAGGGCTTTTTCGAGAGAGGCGTAAATCTGGCGGAATTTAACGGCCGACAGACATACGCACACTCAGAATCACGGCATAATTCAGAAATAGTATCGATGGTATCGATACCTCATAAGTATCGATACTTCAGCTCGATGCTCGATACCGGTATCGATGCTTAGAGTCGATACCAGTATCGATACCGAGTATCGATACTTCCCTGAGTATCGACATCCCTAGGCCAAATCTTCGCAGACTTGCCGGCAGGAAGGAACCAGCATGAGGGGTGGAGTGAGGAGAGGAGGAGAGAGAAAGAGTTATGGAGGGGAGCGGGCGGGAAGCACGCACCGGCGTGTGTGAGTGTTGGGTGGAGGGGATTGTGCGTCTTTTCGTCAGACTTTTCTACGGACAGGGTTGCAATATTGCATGAAAAATGAAATCTCGTTCTAACTGTGAAGTACCTTCCTATTTCAGTTTCATTGCTCAGGAATTCAATCAGTGAGAACGACAACACACTAACTCGGTACCTAACTCGAAAATGCTCACTTGTCATTAAAGACAGTCAATTTTCATACTTCACCTATCGTGCAGTTTTGTGTGCATCTTGATTATCTTCATTTTTTCGAGTTGGTGTGTTTTCGTTCCCACTGATTCAATTGAGGATTGAGGAACTTTTCGATAAACGGACGTATGCTGCTAAGGAAGAACGCCGTATGAGCCTTCGGGCGTTGCCAAATTTCTTCTTGCAAATCACCAATTTTCAGGAAAATTTTTGGATATTTTTTTCCAAGTTATCATATAATTTCGTTTGTGATTTTATATGAAGTGTCAGAAAATTTCAAGGAAGATTATCGATAATTTTCCTCAAGGGTTAACATTTTAAGGGATCAAACTGGGCAACCCTCGAATGTTCATACGGTGTTTTTCCTAAGCACGGCAGTATGAGGCTTCCAATGCTGTTACGATTTTTACATCTAAATGATAAATTCACCAACCAGTCAACCGAACTCCCTTTTGATCAGGACCAGATTTATGGGGAGGGGAGGGGGAGGGATGGCCAAGGCGGCAAATTTTGAGATTTTTTCAAACAGGCATGAAACAAAATATCTCGGATTCAAAAACAAATTACAAACGAGAAATGGCGGCAAAATTTCTTATTTCCCGAGAGTATAAAACTGGATCGCATTTAGCAATAAAGAACCATCGCGATTACAGTGTTGTAAAAATGTTTCTTCTTCATAATTCTCTGAAAATTCTCTCAGATTAGCAAATTATTTTGGCTTCCCACCAAAAAATTGATTATTTAAAGGAAAATAATTGTGTAAATTTTAATATAGTAGGTACATATGAAAAGTATTTTTAAGAGAAGAGAAATTGCACCATTTTGAAAACACTTGATCGCGCTGGTTCCTTTTTCCTATGCGATTCAACTAGTACCAAATTTCTAATTTTGTCGTTGGTGGTAAAAGCCATTTGCCTATGTGTCACACTATCAAAGAGGTTATTTGCTTTTAAAAAAAAAGAAGCAAGTTCCCGTATTGTTTTCCAACTATTTTTTTTTAAAATCCTTCAAATGATAGTGAAAAAAAAAAACAATACCAACCCACCCACACGAGTCAGTCATTGTCACTGCATATCTTTATGGAATCCACCTCCCTTCCCTGCGCTCGACATTGGCCCTCTCTCGGCCGCAGCCAGAAAAAATACACTGCATTAGAACTTCCCGCCGCAATGTGCACTCTCAATCTCAAAATTCATCCACTGCATCACAGGAATGCGTAATGACGGATTAATGACGGGTGTGGATTGGGCTTGGTGATTTTTCAAGCTCAAGTGGCATGGTCGAACTGACATGCGATATATCGCAACGTTAAAAATCTCGGCAGATGTTGAATTTTTAGTTAAAAAGAGGAAGACAGCATAAGCGCATAAGCCTTAAGAATCATTCTAAACCCTAAAATCGGCAAAATTCAGAGAAATTAAAGCAGAACCTATAGTGTTTCGACGGTGTCAGTCGGCAATCACATAACTCGGTTTGCGACGTCGCAGACTTCCTGTCATACTTTATTTTTTAAACGGAAAACTACTCAACTGCAATTCTTTAAAACTGCCGTGATTTTTCTTCTATGTGCGAAGAAAATTCTACCAAAACCTCAAGGAATGATGTCAATTTGTTCTCCTTTTTGACACCGTCGATTTGGAAAAAACCTCGCATTCGATTTAGCTATCGATTTCTGTATCGAATGCGAGGTTCTTTTCCAAATACTGTTTTGCTTTCATTTCTCCGAATTTTGCCGATTTTTGGGTTTAGAATGATTCATTAGGCTTATGCGCAGGGGCTATCATCCTCTTTTTACTAAAAATTCAAAATCTGCCGAGATTTTTGCCCCAATTGATGCGATATATTGCATACCAGTACCAGTTCGACCACGTCACTTGAGCTTGACGAATCATGCCCACAGATTAGTCCAGATCGCTGACATCGGCGGAAGGGCATGAATAGTTTTGTGAGTGCCATTGGGAGGAAAATCCATGGGCATTTAAAACTAGGAACCAAAACTGAAATTTTGGCTATTTGCATCAGATTTTCGGCGGGAGAATACTTCTTTTTCAGATTTTTGTGGGATGAATTGTTGCGAAGAATTCAAGAATTAGTTTCTCAGTAGAATTTATGCGGTTCAATATTTCCAGATTAAAAGATGCAGCACTTTCCCCTTAATTTGGAATGTCTATCTCTCATCTGTTCTGGATGAATCAATCTTCACCGCCAGATTATAATATATCATATTTTTGAAGTTTAAAGCCTTAGAAACCGAAAATTAAAGCAAAATCCTAGCAAAATGAGACTTTAGGTTCCTAGTTTTGAATTCCCGCCAGGCCTCCCATGAGAGCAGTTAATTGCTACCAACTGTTGTAAGAATATTGAAACAGAATACTTAGCATAACAGGACTTGATAAAATCTTACTTGATCAAAAACCATTATTACACATTACTATTTATACTTTATTAAAGCTTTATAATCAGATTCAAGAGGAAATTGCTCTCGATCCGGTCAAGTTCTTTCACTACTGGTAGTGCCGTCAATTTTCTAAAGTTGTCTAACCTGTAGCAAAATTAAGTCATTTGTAGTTTTGCCATTTAATCAATATTAATTGTAAGCATTAATATACACTTATATTTATAGGGGTTGACTTCTAGTCTCCTTGTAGTAAGATCCGTTTTCCTCGTGAAATTTTGCTGAGAAAACACTTTGTAAACTGCTTTAATTCGTGCCTTGACTGGAGACCCATTGCAAATCTAAAAATGAAGAGTTGAAAGAATTTCGCAATTCACCGATGATTAGAGGTGGAAAACATTGAGCACAAATTGAGTTTTTTAAGAACATTCACTTCTTAGAACTACGTATCCCACGTTTTAGCAGATGAACTAACTAGAAAATCATCTCGCAAAACGCTCCACGAAGGCTCTTCCTCTTCCTCCTGGAACAAAAAATAACAAAGTCTTGAATAAATAACAGACAAGAAAAAATTAACACAAATACGAAGTTATAATAAAAAATTTGAAAATTTAAAGGGGATGACAACCTTAAAAACAAGTTTGGCTAAGTCGCTGAGGAAAAGTGTGCAATGTACGATGCCGAAATCTGTTTGCAAATACCTGCATTCGTTGAGCCGCTATCGCGAAAAGAAAGCTGAGCGGGTGACGTCATGAGCTCAGTCTGGCATTTTGCAGTCTGCACTCTGCATACTGTCTCCGGTGCCAAGTAGATGACGCGTGTTTGCTACAAGTTATTAGTTCGCCCCAATCTCTCTCGTTCCTGGCCGACTCTTTTTTCTTTGCTTAGATGACTATCAAGGCGACTTCACGGCCACAGACAGCAAGCGCGCCAGACTTCGAGTTGTGTGTGTGTGTGGACCGCAGTCGCACCAGGAGCGCATGATGTCACCAGTCAGACTTACGATCTTTCAAATCTCTGCCGATTTTGCGAATTTTTCTTTCGGGACGGAGCCATTTTGCTTCTTATACCTTCCCGCTTCAATTTTTTATACTATCTCATTTCCGATTTTAGGGTTGCCGTCCCCTTCATCCATGGAACTTTAAATTTTTTAACAGCATACTAGAACTTACAAAAGATTAAGAGAAAGATACATTAATCATGATCGGAATCAGATTTTGCTTTTTCATCATCTCTCATCTTTTGGGAAATTGGCAATTGCTTATGATTTTAAGGCTGACCTCTTATCTGTCATCATAGAAAATGAACCAGTTTTACAGTATAAACGTGGAAAAAAGTATAAAAGCAAAAACTAACATTTCTAAAAAATTGTCATCCAAACGTAGATGCAAAGAATGGCAACTCTTTTCCAAGTCTGAGGTGAGGGACTCTGTGTGGAAAACGATGGGACTCAACACTAACTGAATTTCATTATTATTTGCTATGATGTTCTCCACAATCCTCTGAGCTTGATAAGCTTTGAAATTGAACTTTTAAGGTCAACCACAAACTTGCCAGCAAAATTCGGACCCTACCTTGTCCTTGAATAAAATGATTCAACCTAAAATTCATTTTTCCTGCTAGTTTTTGCGGCAGTTTGAAAATTAAGAATCTCAGAATCCATTTCCCAGACCCAGATTGATAAAATTACCTTTATCCTAATGGTATCTGGCGCTGAGACTGGAACACTTTTGGCTTTTTCTGACAGCTTGTTGAAAAATCTCTCCTTATCCAAAGATTGAGCAACATCTCTGGGGTCAACAGTTTTTCTTCTACTGCTCTTTACAACTTTTTCTATGTCTTTTTGCTGCTGCTTCACTGCATTGAACAATTGCACGACACCTCTAGACAAAGCAAAAATAGGCATTTTTTAGTGAGAGAAAAAGCCTAAGATGTGATAAATGTAATATAGCATGAACTCAACATCTTTTATGGAATATAAAGAAAGTTGAGCCTCATACCTGCACTTTTTCTGAGTAATAATAAAAAAGAAACGCTCAACAATCTACAAAAAACAGAAACAAAGTTGAGTGAAATATTATTTTTAAAGTCGAAGAATGAACTTGACTACCCATGATAGTAACATACAATAGAGTGGGTCTCAAGACAAGGTATGAATTGAAGCAGCACACAACATGTTGTCCTAGTAGATTTTCATAAAGAAAACAAATCGCACAACTGATGAGTTAATTTTAAGAATTTTTGATAGGCTCAACAAATGTTGCATGAAACTTCTGTGGAGACTGCATGCTAAAATGCTAAATTTTATTTTATTTAATTTATTTTGCAGTCGGTACATTTATTCCCTTTAAGGGATCATACAAGTCAGTTTACAAGAAAATAGTACTACAAGTTAACAATTGTTTCGAACAATCAATACAAATTTAACAAAAATGCTTTTAAGAAATGGTTTAATTCAGGCAATGTAAGAGCAAAAATATGAAAATGACAGTAGCGATGAATTAAGGCTAGAGTTTGAGAGGTCATCAACATGGTAGAATGCACCCTCCAAGACAAAAGCCCTAAGTTTGAGAAAGAAGACGTTTATTTCGCCTCTCTTAAGTATTTTCCTCATCTCAGAGGGAAGAGCATTAAGTAGCTGAATTGATGTTTTTCTTAAATTAATTTTTGAAATAGAGTGGGTGAACTTTTCTGGAGTTACGAAATTATGCCTGGTGTCGTGGCTATGTGAGGGGAATAACTCACTAAAATCAATTACTTTGTTAAATATATAGCATACTTTAAAGTTTCGTGGATGTACAGGGATGGGAGCGTAAATTACAAGGGTAGTTGAAGGGGATATTAAACAAAATTCTGAGTATTTTCTTTTACTCGGTAAACAAACTCTCTGAGTGAGAGCTTCTGCCCTAAAATTTCTCACCTTGTCTCGTAATCTACATTTTGTGCTATGTTTTGTGCACATAAAAATCAGTGACTGAACTCACAAACCCTTGAATTCGGCACTCAGCATCCACTTCCATGCTTCTTTTCATTCACTAAATGAAACGTGAAAAACAAACGAACCTAATTCTTTGAAAATTTCTGGGATTTTTACCCTCTACCAGATGAATATTCTGTGAAAATTTCATGCAATAAAGTTGTCTTGTTTTCCTTCAGAAAAAAATTGAATAGGAGTGGAAATTTGAAAATAAGTACGGTGCTTGAGGTGAATGGTTTCCAAGTTTAGATATTAAAATATTTTAGACAAGTGCAAAGTTAGGAGTAGTTGAAAACACACTGCTTTCACGTAAAGCAGATTCCATATTGATAGTCAAAATGCGAAACCACAAAACCTCCATTTCCGCGCTGCAGACCACCTGTTATACTTCATTTTTTCTTTGGAAAACTAGTTAACGTAATTTCTTAAAAACTTGCTTGATTTTTATTCTATGTAAATTGTAAGTTATAAAGTTGGATGTTTCTTTTTGAAAAAATAAAATAGGAGTGACAATTTTGAAACAAGGCAATGAAGATCTGCGGTTTCACACTTTAGCCATTGATATTCTTACCGACTTGGTAACTGTTGATCATAATACTTACTTTGTTGCTATTTTCATTAATGTTCGTTCATAATTTTTTTCTAGAATGTCTGGTTTAACATGTCCAACTTTTGCGTATTCTTTTTTCTGAAATCAAAGGAGAGTATTAAAGCATTGAAAAATCTGGATCATGATGAAAAAAACTACGGCAAAAAATACAACAAAAAGCTAAATTGTGCTGATGCCATGAGGTGGATTGTCCATGATCTATTGAACCAGTCATGAGACTCTTTTAGAATACGTTCAAGTTTAAATGGCTTGATTTAAGATTTTTTTGCAGCCATGTAACAGCTGCTAATATTTGGCTTAAAGAAAGCTCTCCTTGCTTACATTCCAGTCCTGTCTTTTGTTGCAACGATATTTGTGTCAGTGAGAACAAAAAATTGCAAAAATATAATCACAGCGTTATGTGATATTAAAGTTTCGTTTTTTTCAATATTATGTTATTTTTAGCAGTGCCAGGTGGTATTCATCGAATTTCTACTGTGGATATTTCTGACAGTGGACTTAAATTCATTCATATTTTTTCCTCATCCACAAGTTTGACAATCATTTGCCTTAACTAGAGTTAAAGAAAAGCATAAGTCATACTTTCTTTAGCAAATAATTATCCTTGTTCAAAAGTTTCTGCCCTATTCCTGTCCTTGACATTGACCGTTATTGTTCTCATATTGATAGACTGACAGGGTCATAAATACGGCAGGGCTAAGGAAGAACGCCTTATGAGCCATCGAGCGTTACCAAATTTCCTTTTACATATCTGGAATTTCCGGGAAAATTTGAAAATATTAACCCTCCGATTCTTCAGAGGATTTCATTTGTAAAATGATCTGAAGTTCCTGAAAATTCAAAGAAAAAATATTCATAACTTTCCTCAAAAATAAACATTTTATCAAGGGAAATTTGGCAAATTTTGAATGTTCATACGGCATTTTTCCTTCGCATGGCAAAATAGCTGATAACTATTGAGGAGCTTATTTTGTCAAGATTGTGGAGGAAACATCAGGTTTTTTGGGCATAACTATGAGAGAAAAATGTAGCCATTCAAAGGCCCGAAGAGGTAAGTGCCTCGAAGCGGAAAAAATGTTCCCACAAAATCTATTTATTCTTGTAAAAAAAAAAATTGTACATGATACTTACAAGTAATCTTTTAGTTCCTAATTTCAGTTTTAGATCTAAATCCTTTACATCAGGTTTTTCCTCTTGGATATCTTCATCAGAAACAGTTCCACCTTCAATTTCAAAATCATACTCTTTCTTGATTTCCGTTTCTTCCTTGACTTCCTGATCTTTCTCAGCAAGGGCGAGAACAACTGATTTCTTCCGCGGAACGTTGGTTTGTAATACTTTGTTAATGGCTTCTGTCCATGCATCAGTTTGATCTACTGATTCACAGTCCATAGAGGTGTCTGAAACAATAATAAGGTTGAAAAATTACGAACTGATGATTTTAGCTTTGCAGGCAGGCGTAACAGTACCACTGCTTGTGCTTAGGTGTCATTTTATATTTGTCTCTTCATTTTTTATTGCATCATTACAGAGAAATGGCTGGTGGCATTGATAATAATCAGAATGTCATCAGTTTTAATCCATTTAAATTGCAGGTGGTCAAATGAATGAAATAACAGGAAAACAAAAGGACTGCTTTACCTAGAGCGGAACCAAGGCACATTAGCTATTGCCAAATTAAATTGGGCAGTTTTAATTTCTACGTGAAAACAGTTGAGCAGATTTTAGCGCAAATTTCAGTAAATTTTATCATAGAATTACGAAAATTCCTTGAACTTTTCAAAGGAATTCGCACAAATGTTCTCTTGTAAGAAATTGAGCTGCTCGCTTAAATTTGGCAATAGCTGATGTGGCTAAGTTTCTTTCTGCTAAATGCGGTTTGATGAGGTATGAAGGTTGGTGCGGACAGTCTTCTAGGTTAGCAACCTACAGCCTCGTTGCCACCAAATGAGGATGAAACAAAGGCTATGATTCAGTCACCTATTGGGGATGACTTTACTGACCGATTGCATTTCAGATGTTCAGACAAACAAAATGCAATCATGCTATTTGCAGCCTATTCTCACAAAAAATTGGTCGGTGTATCACACTCAAAGTCAGCTCGATCATGTCACTGCTGAACCTTGCGCCCATTTTTCATTAGGATAGGTGACATTTCTGGATGCAAATTCTGAAGTTTGCTGCAGTGTTAGTAGTCGATGAAAGATGGCCCTAAGAGAAATACGTACGGTTGTAAAGTGAAATAATATTGGAAAAGAAACGGATAGCGGAGACCAGAGACAAGCGGAGACACTCGGTCTGAAACCTCAATGATGACAAGACCACTCATCATTCTGCATGTGAACAATGGCATTAAAATTTAGGTGAGAGGAAAGAAATACATACCCGAATTTTCTTGCACTGCCATTTTTATACATACGTTAATGTTTCATAAAAACGATATAAAAATCAGGAAATCTTGGAGAAATCACAAGTTTTTCACGTTTTTGATAACCACGTGAGTTGTTGTTGCATGAATGTTTACAATTTTATCTGCAGAGCGCAGCACTTTAGCATTGTAGCAACATTGCCAGATTACATAAATACATAATTGAATTTGTGATTTTCCTCTTGTCAGACAGTTTCCTTTTGCGTTTACAGCCAATGAACTGTTTTTAAAAATTCAAATTGTATATTCTAGTAGAGCTCATGAGCGAATATCATTAAAAAACAAAAGGAAATTGAGTCACGGACGTCATGCTGATATGACAACAGTGCGACAGGGCGAAGTGTGTCTGCAACTTACGAAAGAATCCCTCTTCCTCGCCGCGATTGCATGTTATATCGGGTAAACCCGGTGTTTTAAGTGGTAATAATTTTTTATTTTATTTTAATTTACAACTCCAGTAGTTTTTCATCCACAACCTTTCAATTCGAGTGTCAGCAAGACTTGTACGTGAGTATACGAGGTAATTCCATCACTATGATCTAACTCCTAGCAGGCCTAACCTTAAACTTGGGCCCTTCGCTCATCGAATTTTTAGTCAGCTCCCACACAATTTTACTGCAATATATTTAATGTCTTGAGCCAATTTTTACACGAAGTTATCTGTTTGTGAGTTTGAATCCAGTCTCCATTTTCCTATGCATCCTCCTGTGTTTCATAGCTCCTCTCACAGTTCCTTAGACACATGCCGCATGCGTCACAGTATGATGAAATGTATCAACGGAGGGTAAAGGTCTGCGCTGACTATGTCTTAATACACTCATTGATTTGACCACTTCTATATGCTGGATAGCTATGCATACTTTCAAAGTAATAACACTGAAAGTTACTGCTCATGTAAGACAGAATCAGTAATCGAATCATTTGGACCGTTGCCCAAGTTGCTATCAAATGGCTCATTTCATCATACTCTCTTCCTATCTCGCTCAATCCTCTCACCTCATCTTAAACCATCCTGACGGCAAATTTGTAACAAAAAATGTCAGATAAAGTCTGCTCTGTTATGTATTCCAACTGCGGCTCTGCAATATTATTGTAATTACTCAGTCATGTCACAATTCATTATCATTGTCTGCAATTTTTCAGTAAAGGTAACTTGCTCTTCAGTGAAAAATCAACTTCATGTTCAAGCAGGTTGCTGAAAGTTACCTGGATATGATTAATAAGTAGTATCACAGTCTTTGGAACTTGCTGTCAGTACTTAGTATTTTTCTCAAACGTCTTTACGCATCTGTACAAACTTTCCATGAACACCTGTTTTCAGAACTGAGAAAGGCAGTATCTCATCAAGCTTGTTTTTACTCATAATATTTCATAATCAACAAATGTATTTTATCCTTTTAGGTCGCGATTGCTGTGGATTCTATTAGCTTTTACGTTGGTTCCTTTCCCTGATTCCAGTGATATTTAATTGAAAATGGCTGCTCAAATATTTGGGAGAATAGGGCAGCTTGGAGTCGGACTTGCCATGGTCGGAGGTGTTGTCAATTCAGCTCTGTATAACGGTAAGTCCCTCATTCTCTGCAAGTATAATTACCATCCCAGAAAATTTACAGGCATGTAAACATTCATTCTCATTTGTAGCATTGGAAGAGAATATCGACAGTGAAACTGCTAAAATGAGTACCTACCTCTGCCTACCTAGCTGCAATGTTCCGAAATCCCTGCTCCTATGTTATTTTCCAAAAAGGAGACCAAACCAATTTCTTAGTTTGAATTTTTTACAGAATATTATTCAGAAAGAGAAGAATAGTCACTGAAATTTTTAAGAAGTGATGTTCTTCAGTTTTCCATGTTGAAAATAAAGTATGTCAGGAGATCTGCAACACCGTATACGGAGATACGCATTCCTGTAGTTTCACCATCAATATGTCTCAGTTACTGTTTGGGTCCATTTTCATGTATTGGAGAATCCCTACAGTTCTGTGACATCATGAGTGAAGTCGCCTGTAAAATCAGTCAGCATCCACCCTCTCACCTACGCACTATAGTATGAAAGAAAAAAAAGAGGAGATAAACAAGTAGCGAGATCATCTTTGCTGTCCCCTTGCACTAATTACAAACGTTAAACGTTCACATTAATTTTAAGAGAGCTATTAAACATGGATCAAAGACTTTTCCTGTAAAGTGAAACTTGATTTTCAATATCTAATCTTTCGTTTTTTTTAACTTCAATATGTTTTCACATCTGTCATATATGAATGTGGGGCCGTAACCGTTCTATGTGCTCTCCAGGCAAATACTATGTGGTATTTTTCAGGGTGAAAGAGTCAAAATTTACAAAAAATGCAGTAAAAATATTGTAATTTAAACTACATAGAGAAAAGGAAAAAATCGGGGAGTGCATGTATCTTATGAGTTAATGACTGTTGGCGTACCAAAAAAAAGCTCAATATTTTGAAGTTTTAATAGTTCTTAGGAGCCAAAAGCTATGGATCCATTTCATCAAACTTGAGCCGGTAAAATTGGGATTAAAATCTGTAAATGTTATGTATTAGTCTTGGCTGCAATGACCTGGCCACTCACTTGACACTCCATGGTGCAGCCAAAGGAGGCATGCGAACTGCTTATTGTGGAAAGATTAACAGTGGCTACCTTTCATTCATCCTTGAAGACCCCAAGTATCCGGACTGAATTTTGTAGGCGCTGATAAATTAATAGTTCGGTAAAAAAATTTAGTTTTAGAGTAAAATTCTCTAGACAAGGGATCAAAATTCATAATTTCATATTATTTCTCCCTGGAAGACATACCTCATTGGCAGTCAGCACTCGTTTGATTTATAGATGGCAGCTGCTACAAAAAACTGTCAGCTGTTTTCTCTCAAACTCAATGTTTGTCTAGGGAGAGCTTCGTTCGTCTCATCCCTAAATGTTTATCTGATCTTGCATTCTAACAACGTTTCAGTGGATGGTGGTCACAGAGCAGTCATTTTTGACAGATTCACAGGAGTCAAAAATATTGTAACAGGAGAAGGTACCCACTTCTTCATTCCTTGGGTTCAGAGACCTATCTTGTTCGATATTAGGTCACGCCCACGAAATGTTCCTGTCATCACCGGAAGTAAAGGTAGGCTTTAAGTTCCATGCTTTCAGTTGCCCTACCTGTGTCAGGATTTTAGTCTTGGAAACTGCGGTCTCGTAAATTTTGCTTCATTTTCAAAATAAAAAACAAACTAATTCCAGTTGAATCGAAGGTTTAGAATTATATTCAGTGCTAACTTGAACAGAAAAGTGGGATGACCAGCAAATCTTGGTTGATTTCAGAATTCATTTTGAAAAAAATTGTAGACATCATCATTTTAAATCATAACTTTTCATCTTTCAAAGTAAGCAATTTGGGGTGTCTTTTTTTTACAGAAAAGAAAAGTAAAAAAGTAAATCATTTGACAGTCTGTAATGATGTAGGCAGGCAAGGGAATCTGTATTCGCTCATTGGCTGAGGCCCAGTAAAAGACATGGCCAAGTTACGTCATCAAGCCTTAGAGTTTCCGCGTTTTGGGCTTTGTGCACTTGGGGCTAAATCTAATTTAATCCATATCATCACAGCTCTCATCCTCAGCAGCCTGATTGTTGAAATTTATGTCAGCACGACAAGAATCGAAAATCGATATATTACACATCGCAGATAGGGCTATGTCTTGTCTTATCGTTCTGACAAAGCCAGTTGAAGTTTCAACAATCAGGCTGCTGCTGTCTTTAATTAGCTTTTCCTCTCATTAAGTAGAATCATTTTTTAAACTTGTAATGGACATATTGGCTTTTTCGTGAAATTTTATGATTAGTATATTCGTTTTTGACCAAAAGAAATCATTGTCTGAAGGCTCATACTGCGTTTTTCCTGAGCATGGCAGATTTAGTTTCTGTACCAAGATAGTCTTGATCTGAAATGAGTTAAGCTGATAAGTTTATTCTCTTCAGCTCAATTGTCCTATCTCGTCGGAGTGGTAAAACATATCCAGTCTGAGATATTCTGATTGCATTTTTCAATCTTTCAGATTTGCAAAATGTCAATATCACACTTAGGATCTTGTTCAGGCCAGTACCAGATCAACTACCAAAAATATACACGATCCTAGGTCAAGATTACGAAGAGAGAGTACTACCCTCAATCACCACCGAAGTTTTAAAAGCTGTTGTAGTAAGTATTGCCCAATTCTGTTCTGTTCACCCTCTGTATGCGGTTAATTGCCATTGAAGGGTATAGGGAATCTGAAGGCGCGATTCTGCTGGGCGTTCGCTAGCCAAATTTCAGGGGCAAATTGGACAGAGCACTGCTCTGAGAGCGGTGTTGTGTGCTATTTGTATAGGACGGTTTGCTGATTGACGCATTCGCGCGCCGAAATTTGCCTACAAATGCCCAGCGGAATTGCGCCTTTAGTCTTATTTTACAGGGAAGGAAGTAAGACCCAGATCTATGAGATTAAATAGGACGTATTTCTGTCAAACGGAACTATGTGCATTACGGCGTGAGCCCTGTTATGCATATATTCTTATGGGTGTCAGGGCTCATGTCTAAATGCACATAGTTCCATTTGACAGAAATACGTCCAATAAATCTTAATTAAAATGGGCCAATAGACAAGTTCCTGATGTATGTTCCCTCTTTAAAATTGACATAGAACACAATAACAAAGAAAAATTCGTCAAAAAAATTCAAAGAAGTGATGAGATACTTTTGTCAACACTTTGAACAGTCATATATTCTTAAATATTTGGAAATGACAAGAATTATTGAAAGAATTAAATTTACTAAATTATTTATTGAATTATTTTTTATTAAATTTAGAAATTGAGGACACTGCACCAAGAACAGCCTGTAACTGGAAACCGCGTTTCGAGATTAACGCATTTAAAGTTTTATTTTTGATGTACTGCGCAGACTTTTCTATGCAAGTACTCTGTTTTTGGGTGTCCTAACCCTTCTATTGAAGGATGGCGGGTAGATTTTGCGATACATTTTGGGTTTACACTCTAATATATTTAATTTAAAAAAGCGGTCTGTAGGCCATTATTACGCCCAACAGTCATTTTGGTGGCAATATGAAGTGTAAATCATTTTAATCACTCATGATTAACGCGAAATGAAAAAATATCAATAGTGAGTAAAGAAAGGGGTAACTAGCACCTTATAAGCCCTTAAGTTTATAGGCCCGTTTATAGGTCGTTCTTGCATCCATCGATCCAGGGGCCTGATTTAACTCGAGAAAAAAAGGTTTTTCGACCTCGAGCCATTACCTATCTATATTCTATCGCTACCACAGCATAGTCCAGGGTACGTAGAATCCGAAAAGCAGATGGGTGTAATAACGACCTATACGCCTGTAGGCTGTTCTCGGTGCAGTGTCCTCAATTGATGAGAAGTAAATAACCGATTAGCTTTTGTATATTAGACTAAACCATAATGAAAATTAGACTAAGACCTTCTCTACAGTACTTATTATCTCAAAAATTGTCTAAAATATCTACATTTCTTTTTCACAGGCTCAGTTTGATGCTGGAGAACTAATTACGCAGAGAGAACTTGTGTCACAAAAGGTTAGCGAAGATCTCGTAGAACGTGCATCACAGTTCGGAGTTATTTTAGACGATATTTCAATTGTAAGAACTTTCTTTTTATTTCTATTTTAATTCTTATCACAACTCAAATCTTCTGGTAAAGTTATAACTGAGCTCATCCATGCTGCAGTTCAATCTTGAGGTTTATTCTAATGTTTTCGTTGAAATTCGTAAGACACATTTTACCTTATGCAAGTGCTCACTGTAGTTGTAAATAGTGAAGTAGGCCAGAAAACATACTTTAGTGTAGGTTGTTTCAAAATTCCGGCCACACTTTTAACTTGGAAACGCAAATCTTATTGACGTATGAAATGTTGAGTGACTTTTCTTTTACCTTAAAGAAAAAAGAAAAAAAATTGAATTTTGGAACAATTTGGTGTAAAATTTCTTGTAGGTACTTATTTTTTTCTGAAAACTAGAGTAAGAGTAGAAGTTCAGGAATTTCCCAATCAACAAGAGACACAGTGGAAATCAATGAATTTCCATCACCTTACTTTTAGATTGTTCAACTTTTCCTTCGTTTTACAAAACAGTTTCTTACTAAGACTTGCCGCATCAATCGAGCTTTGGGAATCTGGTGGGTGGGGAAATCAGTTAACATGCATTTCTTTTTTTCTAGATTTCTATTTCTGTGGCAACACAGTTTGATCAACTACGATCAAATGGGTTGGGAAACCTTTCGGTAATTTCCACCAAATTTTCTAGAGATTTTGTACCTACTGGCGTCTAGTACGCTGAAAAATTCTAAGATATTCCTCACCTCTTTTCGTTCTTTCTTTCATATTCTTAGAGCAAATAGTGAATAACCGTATAATTGTCTTGTCTCTATTGAACTTTAAGTAGTGATCAGGCTTAAATAAGACCTTTCATGGTATTACTGTAAAAGCCAATGAGGATTTAGATAATCATAAATTGTTGGAAAATATAATAATGCCGACATTGTTTGTTAAGGCAATCCCTCATTAAGTATTTTTTTGTCCCAGAGGAGAGGTGAAACGATAATTTTTTTTCGAAGTAACCCTCATCAAACTTATCAAACAACAAAAGACTGTGTGCTACGTGTTCCAAGATGTGGGGGGAGAAAGAACTTCAAAGCACATTTGTAGCCAATTTTAACACACTTCATTTGCACTCCAAAAGTATTTGTGCCCGATTTGTTTTTTGTTGCAAGCGGAGTTTTGTCTGTTGGCAGAAGCTTTTGTCAAGGAAGTTGTATCTCCAACGAACTTCTTCTTCAGTTTTTACAGTTTTTCTTTTCTTCATTTTTCAGACGCATTTAACATTTGGCAAAGAATTCACGCAAGCTGTTGAATTGAAACAAGTTGCTCAACAAGAAGCAGAAAGAGCTCGCTTCCTCGTCGAGAAGGTAAGGAACTTCAAATTACTTTCAACCCAACAACCTCTTTTTCCGTACCCAAAATGTTCTCATAATTTCATACTATCTCCTACACGAAGTGGAAATATAAATTAAAGGAATACAAATAATTTAAAAACTCAAAGTAAAATTGTGTATTCAAGTATATTCACAAAACAAATTCAAATAACATATGCAGTAACAACCTTTACCTTATTTTAGTAATGAGTTGATTTAACAAAGAAAACAATTTAACCTATCACTGTCAAAAACAGTCCTCTGAGGGCGTTTTCCACAATTTTTAGTTTTGGTATAATCATGACTGAACTATCATTGAAAAATGATTACAACTGATAGATTTTGCTGACAACTGTGCCAGAAAAGCTTGAAATTTTATATTCATTAAAAAGGTAACGTTGCATGGTGTCAATCGTTGACACCATGCAACTTGAACTTTTGAAGTTAAAGCGGATGCAATCTTTTCAAGAAAGTATTTCATTTAAAGAAATAAAGTGCCAAGCCAAAGAATTTATCAGGCGTTGGTCTAATGCTATGTCTTCACGCTTTCTTTGGGGAGAAGTGGAAGCCTTGGCTGTCACAGGTATCGAAATACCTGCAACTTGTTCTTTTCTTCAACTTATAAATTTTCTATTCATATTCAGTTCAATCATTAGGGATGGCTGGATTTCATACACTTTCCTCTTTTTCAGTCCTATCTCCCAGCCATCACCTTAAATCGCCCATTACTTTTATTACTGAACTTGCAGCTGATAGCTCCACTGATTATAGCCAGCCAATAGCGTGTAGACTTGTTGTCTCACCACCTGTGACGTCACCGAGTCTATAAAAGCTTGAGCTGCCCATTTCTCATGGTCCTTTTACCATCTGACCCGTACTAGTACGATGTGCCCTCTCTAGCCCTTCTGGCACAAGTGTGACTATTCTTTTGTAAATCTGTAATTCTAAATTCTTTCATTTAATACAACTTTCGGTCCTTTAAACATTTTCGTTCAATTCTTGCTCTCTCACAACTCCGTTAACTTTTCCGCCGCGTCAAGGGTTCTTAGATGTTTCAGTCCGTCTAAAACTCAACTAACTCGTCGACGTGACATGGTGCCGAACACCCTCTAACTAACTTTCCAGCTTAGTTCGGATCAGTTTCAAACGTTCAATCTTCCACTCACGTGCAACTGCCAGTGTAACTTCCACCCACCTGTTTTACACTTGGCACTCCGCAGTTTTTGAAGTTCCTTTTCAATAGAAAAGAAGAGAAGTTCCTGTTCCAACCGGGACAGATGAGCAGTTTTTACGGGGTTACCCTTTCCCTCGTGCATTGCAAAGTGAAAAAAAAGACGTATACCACCATCCGGACTCGGACTCTCTGTGATCTCTGGCTCTATCTTTCTCTCTGGCCTTTGGACTCCAGGGTTCTTAGATGTTTCAGTCCGTCTAAAACTCGACTAACCCGTCGACGTGACATTGGCCAAATGCTGTTTTTCCAAAAGAAGAGAAGCACATCGCTTCTTTACAATATGTTGCGATAAACTTTCAAATGAATTGGCGCTCCATATAACTATTTTTACGCCTTACAATACTTTTTCTCTTTAAAATAAGTTATTTTAAGTGATGCTTCAGTTAAAAAATTGCTTAAAAATGACTCGGAACGTAGTTTTCCTTATGCGTTCATATAATGAGGTACAAAATTGCGCTAAACTGGCTTAGTCTTAATTATAATGTACTCTGATTGCTTTGATGGGGTACAGCTGTGTGGGTTCATACTACCTGGAATGATCTCATTCTCATAAGTTGTCTTTATGCGACCTTTACAGTGTTTTGCTCTATCATATCTGCACAGCCATAAAATATGATTCTTGTGCCATCTGAACTGCCTGTAAGAGTACCCGTCCATTTCTAGTACTGGTTTAAGTTTCTGTGTCAGTGAAAAAGTAGGTGCAGCATCTGTGAGGGAAAAAAGAGACAAGTTAATTCCAGAATTCGAATTTGAAACTTTCGAACGAACGGTAGGTAACTTAGTTTTAGGCTTATAGGGCTCAGTAAAACGGCCGAGTCAAAATGCTCTTTGTGGAGAAATTTCAAGCAAAAATTGAAGTAATTTTTCAGGTTCCATTCACCAAAATATCTGGAGTTTAAGAAAAATCATCCAGAAGCGATAGATTTCTGGTTCAAGAAGCTTCAAAAGGAAACTTCCTTCTTCTTTGATTGATTGGTTTCATTTCCAAAGGTCTTGCTGAAACTCAGTTTTGGATCCGGGAAAAATTTATTTTGAAGGCTTACATCATCAGATTAAATTTAGTTCTTCTCATTTGCAATTTTATCCCATCCAAATTTCATGGAGTTGTCAGTTAAATCGTCACTTAAGGGTACAGGTTAAGGGTTTTGTTCCGTTCATTCATTTTATGAATGGATTGTAGAAACTCAGGATATTTTAAATTCTCACGAATCTGTTGCGCAAGGTTGGAAAAACTATAGGTCACACAATAGTAATAGGCTCCTTCAACTACCATTCTAAAAGCGTAGTTGTCAAGCTACTTTATAATTATATTTTTGAGCCTCTGGAAGTCAATAAGCGCTTTTATCTTCATAAGAAATCCTTCATTCAGTGTGCTCTTTCCGCAGATGATGGACCTCCACCCTCCCCCTTGAGTAAATACGTAAAAAAAATGCATTTATCCTCTTACCCATTGAAAATTTTGAAGATCCTTATTCAGAGCGTTCATAGATCTTTATATTTCTTCATTTTTCATTTAAATCTTCAACAGTGAACTTAGATTGTATAGCGCATTTAAACTACATAAAGAACAATAATAAGAAAGGCATGGAACATGAATAAAAATAATTAATGAAGATCCCTGATTGTCATTTTGATGGAATGCGATTTGCGAAGCAAGTCAGACTCGTGGGCCTGATATCGAAGTGTATTTGTATTGGTGTATTCAGATCATGAGGAAGAATTGGGGGAAATGATGTCAAGTGACCAAAAAGTATCACGGAAAAGCTAATGTAGGCAAAGTATAGAAATTGCCAGGAAAAATTTCATTCCGATTTCATAGTTTTTAAATCAGCAGTAAAATTTATTACTATTTTGGCGTGTTTTCCTGATGCTGCAAGAATAAATATGTACAAAAAATTAAGTGTCAAGACATTTTTCCAAACCAACATTTTGTCGTAACTTTTTATTATTTTTAATTGCTATGGTTATGAAAGATCAAAACTATTTTTTGACACAATTACTCACATATTTTTTTTTTTTGCTGATTCCAGGCTGAACAACAAAAACAAGCTGCTATCATTTCAGCGCAAGGAGATGCTGAGGCCGCCTCACTCCTAGCCAAATCATTCGGAGAAGCTGGTGAAGGTTTAGTTGAACTGAGACGTATTGAAGCTGCAGAAGATATCGCCTACCAACTATCCAGATCTCGCCAAGTCACATACTTACCCGCCGGACCAGGCGTTTTACTGAACTTACCAACACAATAAGGCAGCATTTAGGTTTTTTACATTGATTTGTGTAGATTAGGAAAGCAAGGTCTCTGTTTTCTCTTTATTTTAATCGATTTATATTTGTTCGTTTGTAAGGAAAGCACTGTAAAGTTTTATTTAATATTAAAAGGTTCTTTTTTATGTCAGTCTTTAAATTCATTTTTTTTCCTCTTCTTCGAAATGAATCTTAAAGTACTCATTTAAAAGAGCTTCACTCAAGAAAATTTGGGGATCAAAGATCCAAATCAAGCTATTTGAAGAACATGAGTAACCCTTCACTAAAGAAAATTTGGGGATCAAAGATGCAAATGAAACAATTTAAAGGACATGAGTAACCCAAGGTTCACGGAAACCACAATTAACTCAGAGGATTTAGTTTGGGAAGCTATCAAAACAATTCCATTAAAAAAGAGGAACAATGAGCATACCCTTACCGATAGCTATTGGAGTTTTTGTAGGTGGCAAAAATGAGTTGTTGACTTGTATATTAATTGTACAGCCAAGCAACGGACAAAGACATGCATGGCAACAATGCTCTAACTTAGTACTTGCATAGTTCCGATAAAGCCCTCCTGTTTCCAAGGAGAGCAGCTTTATCAGAGTGCATTACTATTTTGTAATAAGCAGTGCGGATAGCTTACCGGACAAGGATTCGTTTTAGCACTCTTGTGTTCAATTTAACTGAGCCGGAGTATAATCCTGCAATTATCATTTTCTCCGATCTACTTTCTCCCACCAGGAAAAAAATGCTCAAGAGCTTATTGTTAGCAGAGGACTTTCAAGTCTTACAGACTTGCATATGATTTAGGCTTGAATTTGAAGGAATTGAAAAGGAGGGAGATACAAGTTAGTACTTTTTTAATTTTGTTTATTTTAAATACTGGTATGAAAAACTTATAAACACACATAAAGTTAAAGCTAAAGATGCAACTTAAAATACCTGGACTAGATTGAAAAACTTAAATATTTACAATAGAAAGTCAAAGGAAGCTACGATTCTTTGGATTTGGTCGATACTTCAGCTGTTTGTTCTTGAGCTTGAACAGTGGATTCAGTCTTTTTGAAAAAATTCTTGACAGGTTTTAATATCTTATTTTTTAGAAAAGGGAAAACACCTTTTGGTTCCTCGTCAAGTTTCACTAATTGCAGTCTGAAAAAAAAATTGCATAAAATTTAATCAGAGAATAATTTTTGAATTGGTTCAATTGGTCTTTTAGATACCAATCACAAGCAGAAGATCATTTAGTTTTAATTAAACACTCACTGAGTCAGCACAATAGTGTGAAAACTGCTCTATCGCAAGCATTGTATGATCCATTTAGAAATTTCATGGAAAGTAAGAAAGAATTAAGTAGGAGCAACGTCAAAACTCAAAGTGATCTGGCATGACGTCATTCATGCGGCATTTCGAGCAGTCCAAATTCAACGAGACAGGAAGAAACATGGTAGTGTGAAAAAGTTTTTTTTTTTTTACAAAAACCATCCTTTTGATGAAAAATACAAGATAATCAATGGGGGAGGGAGGGAGAACCTAGAGATGCATAAATTGTATTAAGTCAAGCAGAACAGCTACATCTGTATTGCGGTGTTTCAAAATTTCATCCCCTATTTTATTTTTTAGATGGAAACCAACCAACTTACCTACTCGAAAGGCCACATTAATATTTATTTCTATCTCTCTCTTTGCTCTACTTTTTGAGGAAACTAGACGTTATAATTTAAAACCTTACCTTTTTGTTGTGATATTGTGCAAGGGCCCAAACGCTAATGCAACAACAGTGCATGCTAAGCAAATGACATTGTACGGCATACTAAAATCAGGCGTTGGCAAGGTTAAAATGAGAGACTCAGTTCGAAGCTGAACCAAGTAACCTTGTTGAGAGGCGTTCCAACTGCAAAATATAAAAAGCATTAATAATACATGATAGATAAATCAAAATTACCGAGGGACTATATTTAACTTGAAATCCTGAACTATTAACCATCCTGAGACTATTCCTGAAACTATATCCTGAATCCTGAAACTATTAACCATGATTCGTCCCTAAAATCTAGTTGAATTTTGCCAACACTATTTGACCATGCCATGACCACGAGTCTCAAAACACGACAGAGGGCCCTCAGTCTTTCAAATGAGAGTTACATTGATTCCACGGGAAAAAAATACCAAAATTGCTACATCTATAAATTCTACAAACATAATATTTTCGCTATTAATTTGATGCAAAAAAAATAGACGAAAACTATGTGGGGGAAAATTTCCAATGTCTCCTCCTGAAAAAATCCTCAAAATTCCTATCAAAAATTCTCAAGCATTCATTGTCAGGTATGACAAATGAAATACAATATTTCCTGCCAGGTACGTTTGACTGAAATTTATTATTTTCAATAACAATTTTCCAAAATGCGCTTTAACCTTGGCTTTTTCTCCATTTTACACTTCAAGTTAAAAGCAAAACCAGTATTTTAAGTAGGTTTCTTCAGGTTACAGTTAGCATTAGGTGAAGGAATCTTATAAAATCAGTGAAGCAGGTAAAATGCCAAAAGAAAAAGTATCTGAGAAAGCTTAGTGAATAACCGCAGAAAAACTATACAATGAAGTTCTCAATCACAGTGTATCCAAATTCCTGCTCCAACTTTAGATTTTAATTGAAGGATTATAGTTTCATATTTTAACAGAATATTCTTGTGTGCACAAAAAAAAAAAAAACAGGAAATTTTGTGCAATAGCGATAATAATCCATCACCCTTTAAAAAATGTAATGTGACAGGAAGCCTGTAGAGGTTTAGACTGTCTGTCTATGAAAAGTATGTTACAAACTAAGTTGAGTGTGTGGTATTTTAGTGACAATTGGTAAGTGAATCTTTACCTGTCTGAGATCAACGATGCTTCCGGAGGTAACCCAGTGTAGTTCCTTCCCACAGGCAGCATGCATGTGATGACAGCGGAGCCAACATAGAATCCATGATTGGCATCTGGCGGGTATTCTTGCCACTTGAGAAAAATGTAATCAAATTCAAAATGGACTTCGATAGAGGTTCTAGCAGGTATTTCTAGAACGACCTCAAGGAAGTACGGTCTGACGCGCTCTTTGCCTGGGTGGTACCTTTTCTGAACTGTGAAGAAAAAGAAAAAAGGCTTTGAATTTTATCTTTCTACCCATTGCAACGTTTCAAAATTTTTGCACTTCCATAATTTTTTTAGAGAAGAATGAGACAATTGTGCTAGGTACTCAAAATTTTTGCAGATTTCTCTTCAAGCAAAGAAGAAAATTCACTAAAATATTTTTGAAATTACAGTGGTAAAAGATTAAAAAATCTAATAATCTAAATAATAATCTACCGATAAAAAATTTAAAATATATAGGTTATACTAATGTAAAGATAAATCCAATGATTTTTTGATAAAATTATATTTTTTTTCAACGTAGCCTGAGATGTTGCAAACTCAAAAACGTAGTTTCCACATTTAACCATCAAAGTATAAAATGAGGGAATTTTGCTGTCTCATCCCGCTTTGAGAAATGCAATATGAACAATGCATACCTCACACTGAATGTAATGTAAGTCTCTGGCAATGGTTTATTTCTTGGAAGAGAAAAAACAGACCGTTTCAATTGAACTTTTACATAAATTTTCTTCACTCATTCTAAAAAATCACGCAAAATTGCAAGAAAACATTTAATTGTTTCTCATGAGTAAAATAAAATAGAATCAGAGATTCTTAAACAGAGCAACTGAGGTACCCTACTATTGGATTCAGCCATCGATAATCGGCGGGAAGAGAAAAAAAAACTAAACCATGCAAAAAACTCACTTGGATTAATATTTCTATTATTGGCGGTGACTTTCAATGTGTGATAGTAGATAGGCATGAACCATGGGATATTTTCCAAATAGATGATTTTCAGAGGAGTCCTGTGTTTGTTGTGAATTTTGGTCACAATTCGACCTCTTTCTTGACCGTATCCTGAAAGAAAAGAGTCTCTCATTACATATTTTCGAAAGAAGGAAACAGATGAAAACTAGAGGAGGAGAGGCAGAAAACACAGGCAAACTTTAAAAAAAAAAAAAATACTAGCTTTTTATAAGGAACGCCTCCAATTTATTAATCAGCGCATAGTCAAATTAGGTAAACAAAAAAAGAGAGCCATAGTAAAGTTTTTGAAACTGAGCAGGGCCAGTTTTTGAAGAACATTTCACACAAATAATTTCATAATTTGACGTTAATTGTGAGGACATCGGGATTCTGTTGGATATTTACATAGGTGCTTCATTTAAACATGATGTGGAAAATATTATGATTTATCTTACCTGCTATATACCTGTTCACATACAGAGGTGGTGGATAACTTAAAGGAACTGAAGACAGTTTGCGATAATTGGCATTGATATTGAACAGTTTTTCTGCCGATGAGATATCGTAGACTGCAAACGTTGATTGATAACCTCCTCTCATACTAAGAGCCACTGAGTCAGGATTTGGTGTTAGATGAAATACTGGACCGGTCTGAAAGACAAAAGAAGAGGGGGAAAATCAACATAGCTATAGCCTTGGCAAGCAGATATTTCTAGCAAGGTAGTTACTGACACTCTTGCTTCCAAAGTTCACTCTTGAACTCTAGAAAAAGCTTCAATGATTCTTCAAACCTGCTTGCTTTGCAAAGACCCCCTGAAAGAAACAACTAAATAATTTAAAACATTGTCCAAAGAAGGTTTCAATTTAAGGACTTTGAAGGATGGCTCAAGTTCTATTTATGGACAATGTAGGGAAAACTTAATGTGCAAACTTTCTAACTGAAAACTTACCTCATTTGAGCTGATGTCGACATAAATGCGGCTTGATGATGCGAGAGGACATCCAGATCCCACTCCAACTCCAAAGAGTTTCCTGATGGACCAGTCTTGATTTATTGGCTCAACTATACTTAGGTCGTAAACTAATGAGACTGTCTGCCTTAATTCTATGACTGGATTTACACAATACTTTCCCTGAAAATGAAAGGAAAAAATGATATTACTCTTGATCGTCTGTAACAATTAAAGACCAAAAAAAAAAAAAAAAAAAAAAAAAAAAAAAAAAAAAAAAAAGTGCTGTCATTTAAAGAGATAGAGGTGAGGCTTTTATAACGGACCATCAAATTTTGACTAATTACCATGAAAAAATTTAAAGACAAAATAGAAAACACAGTTATATTCAAGTATAGGCATTTGACCAAAATCCTGTATTTTTGGGTAAAGTTAGAACACTGGTACATGGAAAAAGGATTACATGGATACATGGAAAAAGGCTCATTAGAAAACAGCAGCAGAGAAAATTTTTAAAATCGTTGATTTTTGTCGACTTGCTTACAATTTAGGACTACCAGCATAATCGAGGGTTTTTAAGAAGTATTATCCGGCACCAAAGCTGGGCCATTGCATTTTATATTCCTGCATAAAATCAACTTTTTTGCTAGAGATAATCGGAAAATTTGCTTTAACTTACTGAGCATGTCTGTCTAAAATGCAGTCCTAGGGAATGATAATTCGTATTATGTACATATCCTGCATTCAAGAGGGTTGACAATCCTTTCTGAAAATAAAATATAAAATGACATAAATTAACTTGAGAAAGTCAACAATGTTGTATAGCAGTGGCAAGCGTACTTTGCAATATATCGATTGATCTCCCATTTAAACCTATAGAAAAGAATCAATAAACAGAGTGTTCGCAATGAATACCTCAATTATCGATTCTTTGCCATAGCTTCAAATCGGTAAATATCGATAATCGATTATTTGCGCCTCGCCACTGTTGTATATTCTATGTTTTGTGTGGAGTAAAAATGGACTGGAAGAGAAACAAGTAATTACACTTACGTCTCTGCTCTGTTTGTTAATTTAGACAATTCAATTGAGTGAGAAGCACCCATTGCTTCATAGGTAGAGGAAAGTGGTTTTTTTTTTTTAGAAAAATAATCCATATTTCTACTTCACTTTATAAATCTTCTTTGTGAATACATCACTAAGCATAAAGCATTTCAACGATGAAACTCCCAAACCACATATCTCGTTTGAATGTGCTTTAAAATCTCTATTCTTCCTTCATTTTTTTAAAGGAGAACAAATCAACATTATTACTCATTTTCTTCTCTGTGAGAAAAGAAATCGCGGCAGTTTTTAAGAATTGCTGTTCAGTGGTTTTCCATTTAAGAAATAAAGTATAACAGGAAGTTTGCAACTTCGCAAAGCGAGATCCGTGATTTGGAAGTTTTACCATCAATTTGGATCTTTTGTCCAACTTTTTATGCTGAGGATCTATTTTTTGAACATGGGAATCTAAAAGAAAGTAGCTTATGCACACGAATTGTTATGGCCCCAGGATATTTTAACTTTGAGCTTTTCAATAAGTCAAACAGAAAAGTACAAAAGTAAAAATCAGTCGTAAACTCCCATACAGTAAAAGAAAATCTTCAAACCGTTGTTCTCAAAGCAGAGAACTTCAAAGGTGACTGCAGTTTTAGTAATTCATGGTTCATCAACTTATATTCATGATGAGCTTAACTGAGCAAATAAAAAGTAAGTTTAAATAATAATCAAACTAGTGTCTGTAAAATGGCTGGCTGCTGAAAAGCTTACCTTAGAATCACAGGGCAATAACTTCTTCAAGGGTGTCAGATTTTCAGTACAAACGATTTCTCTGGGAAGAGTTGCATAGCGTAGAAACGATGAGTTGACAGGGTTACTAATATCAGCTACTCCTACAGGTCGAAAGCTGAGCTCAGGGGTCATACTATTTGAAGTTTCAATAAAATTTAGGGAAGCGCAAAGCAGCCCCGAGAGAGCGCCTGCGAGTAATTTCCATTCCTTTTCAACACTGAAAATGAAGAGAATTTGGTTAAAATTCGAAGTATGAAAAATTCAATCAGAAACAAAGGAGAGTTTTTATGAACTTTAAAATTCTTTCAGGAAAACTGTTTTGTAAGATTCCTTGTTAAGTTAAAACTAGAAAAATGCTTTTCCAAAATGTTTACTCATTGATGTTAAACAATAAGTTCATTATGCTACTGTATTACTTGCTATTATTATTATTTTAAATTGTTAATTTTTTTCCTACGTATTTTGAGCTGGAATAGTAATGAAGGAATGACCAAAAGTTTTAAGGAGGATACTTTGGCAAATTTTCTGCTTTAAGAAGAAAGAGGCCACATTAGTGGATAAACCAGTGACGCAGCAGGGTGGACGGGTTCACTCTTGATAAAAGAGGGATAATGCTGTCGAGAGCCTGACTCACGGCTGACAATAGAAGGAGGTGTTGAAATCACCGGCATGCCTAAGAAAGCCTCCTTTTCAGGGTGGTCTAATCTATTCGCACTGACTATACAGAATATGAGAAACTATCTAGGAATACACATATTTTAAAATTATATAAATTCATCTACTGCACAGTGGCCTGGAATGGAAGACTGATATTCCCTCTCCTGCAGTTGATTACTAAGTGATGTCATTCCAACTACAGTTCCTCATACTCTACTTCAATTATGTTTCCAACTTTTGGAGAAGAAATTCCGGAAGATAGGATTGAAATTTTGAGGCTAAGCTGAACAAAGTAAAAATAATAACTCACTTCTCTGTGTCTGGTTTGAACCAAACCCACAGTTCCGCTCCGGGTGGGGCTTCAACAACCGGATATCCCCAATTCTGGTACCGCCAAAGGCCCTGCGTTAGACTCACATGAAGCTCTTGAACATTGTGATACCCTAGAATCTCACCAAGTGAGCGAGGCCATAAATGAGTGTGGTCAACTGAAACAAAAAAAAATTATTCCATACGTAAACTTTGGAGGAATCATTATTAGCACGATGAAAGGGGAGTGACTGCAGGCATTGCCGCGGCAGGCCGATTATTGAAACTATGCAGGCATGATGAGGCAAGTGATGGCTTGTTGTGCTGACATAAAATTGCAATGATTCAAACTGAACCTCACCCGCTCTCACCCCTTCGATTTGTCACTCCTCTAATGTAAGGACATATTGCAATTTCCAAAAGAGCCCTGGTTTCCATATTAATCCAGGCTTTCTAGAGCTTTTGTGGAAATAAAGGTACACCCTAATATTGGTAGAGCCACAAATCGTCTTGTGCTGATGTATATTTTCTCCTGTTCAATTTTAAGGCTCTTTGACTTTCTTACGACTGCAATCTGATCAACACTACACCAAGATTTTAATTCATAATAATGATGTAGCTTGAATCAAAAGAACATTTCTTTTCTGAGGATCAGTTCAGGATATGAATTGATGCGATGAGACTAGAGTTCTCACTTTGAACAAGGCATACTCGTTTGGCGCTATGATCATCGGCAAATTCAATATTAACCTAGACACAAGGTCAGTGCTCTAACTCTGATCAAGACACACCAGACAGTACCCAAAGATAAGAGGAAATTTACTTACAAGTACTCTTGTCAAGGGTTGTATTCCACAGCGTCGTAAATTGAAAGTATGAGTATACATGACCACTCGACAACCGTTTTAATAGTAGTTCTTCATGAAAACTGTCCGAGTATAAATTACTGAATGAATTGACTGAAAAGATCAGTTGAAACAGAATCGTGAAAAGGATGAACATATTTTAAAAACTGAGAGAGAACTTTAACAAACGGAAGATAAGTCTCATAGTTAACTGGCCAGCTGAGGGTGGGATGTCTAATAGAGTTTTAACTTCAAAACCATCAACTTTGAAGCAAAATTTGGAAGAGTAAAACACAGAATACGTGGAAAAATCAGTCGATTACGGCCTCGAGGTGAAAAACTAAATTTTTAGGGCGTAAAAAATAATGAGTGCCGGGAGGGTTTTGCCGACTGGCGACTTGGACCAACACCAACTAACAACATACCATCCAGCGATGAGGAAAAATATTGGAGGTTAGGACGAGTTAGTCAAAAACATCGGCCTTTCGGGTAAGCGTCGTCGGTTAAATTTCCTCGATTTTTTTAATGTTTTTTTCTATTATAGTAACATTTTAGGTTTAAAATATTCTATCAGAATGTCGAGCGCGTTACAGAGCACTATATCGTACATAATTCAGCTCGGATTTATTCTCAGATTCGTAATAAACGGGGTCCTGTAGTACGGAGTCATAACTGTTTTTTTGTGATCCTTCAGAGAGAAGTGCAACGGAGAAATGTCATTGATGCGGATTCTTAGCTCTTATCTTGAACGTCATATCTTTAGTGTTATTAGTGCGCGTTCACCGTTAAAATGTGTTCGATTCTTGTGCTCTAAATTCTCAGTTTTAGTGCGAGAAAATGCTGTTTTTCCACTCCGATCCCAACGCGCTCCAGCCGTGGACTGCAGGACTCATCTTGTTCCAAATCTCTCCGTTTTCATGCCAAACTGCTCATCATGTTTTCAAGCGCAGCGTTTCGTTAGTGTGTAAGTAGAAAACCTCTTTTTATTCCTCAGACTTTTTCGCTATTTTCTAAACTGCAAGCATCTAAATTAAATGATACGCTCCTGCTCAAAAAGCACAAGTCCAACAAGGAAGCAACTCATAAATGTTACTGTAATCATTGTTAATTACTCCACTCACCTAGTGACAATTTAAAAGGTTCTTCATCAAGTCATTTAAAGACTCAATGGAAGTGTCGAACAAACACTGTGTCAGGTTTCTGCATAAAATACCTAGTAAAATGTATCTTTTCATGTAAAGGATATTGAAATTGTTTTCTAAAAAATTTCCTTGTTTGTTCACAGAGGCTGCATAATCGGCAGACTGTAAATATTTTCCTAATCATCGATAACTATTCAAAGTAACAATCACCAAATCACTCGTTGAAAACCTGTCTTTTTCCTTATGAAAATGCTCATCATGTTTTCAAGCCCAGCATTTCGCTAATGTGTAAGTAGAAAACCTCGTTTTACTCTCCAGACTTTTTCTCTATTTTCTAAACTGCATGCATTAAAATTACGTGATGCGCTCCTGCTCAAAAAGTGCAAGTCCAACAAGGAAACAACCCACTAATATTGCTATAATTATTGTTAATTACTCCATGTACTGATGATTTAAAAGATTCTTCATCAAGTCATTAAAGGACTCTAGGAAAATGTTGAATGATCACCACTTCAGATGTCTGCTGAAAATACCCGATGAAATGCATCTTTTCATGCAAAGAATATTAAAATTGTTATTCAAAAAATTTCCCTGTTTGTCTGCAGATGCTGCATAATCGGCAGATTGTTAATCATTTTATGAATCATCACACATTGAAAACCTGTCTTTTTCCGTATGAAAATGCTCACCATGTTTTCAAGCCCAGCATTTCGCTAATGTGTAAGTAGAAAACCTCGTTTTACTCCTCAGACTTTTCCTCCATTTTCTAAACTGCAAGAATCAAAATTACATGATGCGCTCCTGCTCAAAAAGTGCAAGTCCAACAAGGAAACAACCCACTAATATTGCTGTAATTATTGTTAATTACTCCATGTACTGACAATTTAAAAGATTCTCCAATAAGTCAATTGAAGACTCAATGGAAACACTGAGCAAACACCATATCAGGTGTCTGCTGTAAATAACTGTTGGAATGTTTCTCAGCATTCTGCCTCCCCTTACAATCGTTGGCGACACCTTTGCAGGGATAAAACTCATTTTTTAGGATCCTAATTAACTTTTTGCATATTCATTATGGCGCATTCAATTTTGGTACGTCAACTTTTTTAGGCGCCACAATGTCCCAGTCCTGTAATTTTATGGTTTGCCTGTAGAAGGCAACTGTCTTCACTTGAAAAATACAATGATTTTTTTTCTAAGGAAAGTATCTTTTGTGTTCACAGAAGCTGCATAGTTGGCGAATTGTAGAAGATCCAGCAATCATGATATGTGAATTCAAATCTTCAATGTAATGTGTTAAACTTGTCTACGTCTAGTGATGCTCAATGTTGTTTATCTAATGATTAGTTTCTGTCACATCACCTAGCAAGAGTGTGTCACCATTGCCCTCGATTTTGTTGTAAAATGAAAATAAAATTTTATCAATTAAAGCCTTCTAAAATCTTGCTCATATCTTGCCTTTTGTCTAGAGTACCTGTATAGGGAGAGTAGCGACAGATCGGTTCATGGAGGGCTTAGGGCCCAAAAGTGCAGCCACCCTTCTGAGCAACTTCTAACACACAAAATTTCACTGCCAGCCTACAGATTTCAATTCTAACCAAGATGGCTAAGAATGTACATAAATGAGCGTTCTTTCGCAAAAATAAGTAAATTTATGCAAAAAGTAAACCAAATACATGCTTTCTAAACAACGGTTCGTAACAATTGTATTTGTAAATCGCTCTGGACATTCGAAATTCATAGGTTGGCTGCCCTTTTGGGCCCTAACTTTATTCGCGGAGGCGTCGGTGAAGGCCTGATGGACTTTCGGAGTTTCAGATCTGTCGCTACTCTCCCTACACAGGTACTCTACTTTTGTCACTCAGTTTGTTTCCCCCTAGCTCTGAATATCATTCCATGTCCATATGGCCCGTAGACAATGACCGTTCAAATTTATCCTGCAAGTCATGTGTGACTTTAACCATTCAAAAATACAAACTAGGAAGAAAAGAATAAGTCATAATATGCTACAGCATATAAGTTCTTTGTTTTAATGCTCAAACTATGTCTTCATTTCCATTTCATTCGCTAGATAGCAATAATTGATCTGCTGGGACAGATCTCATTTTCAAAAATAGTGAGGGCATGTTAAATTTCTTTTGAAGTTTTCAATAATGAAACATTCTGTCTCTCTCAAAATATTCCTCTGTAAGTAACGCCTGCCTAATTTCCTGAATGTGGAAGTCACCGATGCCTGAATTTTGCATTTAAGGCGCAAAATTTAGGGTACCGATGAAGATCCGAGCTCAGCAGTAATCAGTTTGTCTGAACTATTTAAATAAATTCGATGTAAATCTTTGTTATGAAGCATTGATCTGATGACTTCTACATTCAAGGCACATTCAACTCTCACATTCAGCATGTGATTGCGGTATCAGATAAGAAAGGAATCAAATTTAAACCAAAATTTTGCAACACCAACAACCACAACAATGATCCATCGCATTATTTAGATGTTTTGGTATCTACATTTTGGGGAGAATGTTGAAGAATGTAAACTAAGCTGAGTAAACACTTAAAATTTTAACTGAGAGCAAGCGCGAATCGTACAAATTGACGGTGTAAGTCGGCAATCACACAACTCGGTTTGCAACGTGGCTGACTTCCTGTAATACTTTAATTCTGAAATGGAAAACTACTCAACAGCAATTCTATAAAACTGCCGTGATTTTTCTTGTCCGTGCGAAAAAAATTCTGCAAAAACTTCAAGAAATGGTGTCAATTTGTTCTCCTGTAAGATAATAACATAGAGGCGGAGATTTTCAAACAACCCAAATAAGATATGTGATTGCGGACTTACACCATCAAAGTGTTGATGTGTAGGTAAGACGGGTACTTCCATTTTGCAGCATGATGATTTTTAAAGCAGGAGAATATGGTCACAGAAGAGGAGTTCAGCTCTCCATACGAGATTATTATTGACTAAACTTCACTGTTTACGTCAATTAATAATAGCGAATCAATGCTGAAAAAGGCTGACCAATAAGATGCTGAAAAAAGGTATGGTATATTTACTCGAAGCACAGCAATAAATAATATAAGTCAACACTGGAAAAGATCTTGGTACCGCATACAAATAAAATCCTGACCAAAACAACGCGACTTTCGGTGAGAATACTTCCAGAATCAATCAAGGTTGAGAGACAGAATACTTCTTCACTGCAGCTAAAGTATTACTTTGAAAGCAAAGAAGATTACTATGATCATACAAATGATTCGCAAGATTATTGCCATTGGGAAAGGCTGGGAAAACTGGAGTCATAGTCAAAATACTTGGAAACAACACTTGGCACTAGGTGAAAAACTATGAAAAATATGGGATAATTTCACTAAGATGGATGTTATGTGCTACTACAATGTTCTCTACGTAACTCGTCAGCTTTTTATAGAGTTCCAAAACTTTCGTTACCGGGGAAATCATAAATTTTCTTAAAATTCTAGCTTTCCTCCATAAGAGACCGTTGAAATGTTTTGCCTAACTTCGGCATAACCTTATTCATCGATGGATGGTATGTTGTTAGTTGGTGTTGCTTGGACGGTCAACCGTTGGAATTCGGCGATTTACCCCGAATCTCCACCGCGGCGGTGCGTTTTCGGGGGTTCGGCACTGTCAACGTTGTGACGGACCGCCGCCATATTTGTTTACGAAACCAAGCCTACCGAACCGATCGCATGCCCAAGCATCGTGTGCTGATCGATTATAGTATAATAATAATTCAAAATTAATTTAATCGTTTCAGTCGTTCCATTTTAGCCTCAATAAGCTAAGCTCACCGTTACGCGAACGTAAGTATTTGTTTACTTTTTGCAACTGTTTCACTCCACTTGTACATTGTACCAATGTCTTCGTGGAGTGGGTTTTCCACCGGAATTTACGTATAAAAG